TACACATATAAAGTAAATTGAAATTGTTATAGGATTTCTTTTGTCGCTATTATCGACGAACCGACGGTTGCAACCTACAAGCTTCTATGCAATTTAGCACCGTCTGTTCTTCTAGTAAGTAATTAAGAAGTTCCCACTTTCCTCCACTAGATATTTTCAACAAACCAATACGTCAGCACGTGTCTTTCTCGAAGCCTCTAGTTTCCGAATAAAAGCTCTTCAATTAGGTGAGGTCCCACCTCTTTACAATCACTGAATCACATATAACAATTGCCCTTTTCAAGAAATGCAACTGGGTCCCATTCACCCATAGATGAAAAGCAGATCTAATCTCAACTTCACGATCAAATGAACGATTCAGATTAAAAATTATAACGTGCCTCCAGTTTCGTCTGTCTTCATTATTATAAAGATGACACTCCCAGTATTCAAATTGATTCATCATTCACGAACCATCGCAGAAAGCAAGACTATTGACACTAGCTAAAGTTATTGGTGATCTAAGACAACTCTTTGTTCGTTGTGGAGATGGAGACCGAGCACAAGAAACAAGAACTGAAGCACCTTGGATTTGTGAGGTTGGCCGCGATTAAGGCGCTGGTCTGCGTGTCGAGTCTGTACGACTACGCCAAGAGTAACTCGGGGCCGTTGCGATCGGCGGTTGGGACCGTGGAGAGTGCCGTGACAACCGTCATCGGACCTGTCTACAAGAAATTTAAGTACGTTCCTGTTGATGTCCTTGTTTTTCTCGACAAGAAGGTAAAGTATTGTGTTTAGTATTTGTTTGGATCAGTTGGTTTTATGATTCTTTCTATCATTACATCGAGAAATGTTTTTGTGAGTTCTGTTTGTTTAGTTAAACTTTTCAGTGAAAAATAACAGTCTCGCCGTTGTTGATCTTATTTTTATTATTGTTTGATCGGATTTATTATCATTAGTAGTAGTAGTAGTATAAAATGAAGAAAGAAACCTTTGCATCTAGATGTTAAAGAAAGAATGAATGATAGCTTGGTGTCGTGACTTTCTCAGGTTTTAAATTTTTTATTTGTTTTGTTTGTGACTGAAATATAAAGTTAAGAAGAAATATTTCTGGATTCGGCAGTATAAAAATTACTTGTTTACGGAAAGTGCAGGTGGATGAAGCTTCACACAAGTTTGATAAACATGCCCCACCAACGGCAAAGCATGTTGTGAGCCACGCCCATATATTAATAGAGAAGGCCTTACAGAAAGCCCAGAAGTTTGTAAGTGAGGCTCAGACTGGAGGGCCACGAGCAGCTTTGCACTATGCTGCTGGAGAGTATAAACAGTTCGTGCTCGCAAGTTCTGCTAAGGCATGGCATAAACTCAACCACTATGCAATCTTCCACACTGTGTCGGATATTACTGTGCCAACGGCTGCACACTGGTCGGGCAAGTATAACCATGTTGTTTTGGACTTGAACAAGAAGGGTTATCCGGTCGTGGGCTATCTTCCTTTGGTTCCCATTGATGAAATTGCCAAGGCTTTTAAGCAGACAGAAGCAGAGAAGAAAGCAAATGAGACAGAAGCAGAGAAGGAAGCAAATGAGACAGAAGCAGATAAGAAAGCAAATGGGCCTGAACCAGGTTCAAGCTCAGATTCTGATTAAGAAGTTAATCTGAAGTTAATTTTCCTTCAGTTTGCTTTACCTTGTTGTCTGGCTCGCTAAAATGTAGTAGGCTATGTGTTTTGTTAAAGTATTTGTAGCAATGTGGATAGTCAATAACTTTGTAAATGACTTCTAGACTTTCCTCGTGTGAATTAATGCTGCATAAATTCTGTTATGGGAACTGTTCTTGTTGGTTCAGATTTATCTCGAGCGGTAATTAGTAAGTATGTTTTAGATTCATCTATGGTTGTCAAATCGCATTGTATCGAAAAATCAGGGTATATTATTTTTATCTATATTCTTAATCTTATTTTTAAATTATTGTTTGGTATATTATTTTGAGAAATATTAGTATATTTTTTTAATTATTTTTAGACCCTTGAGTTTATTAATTTCATAAATACTTTCAGAAAAAAAGTTTAAAAATTAACAAAAACACTTCTATCTACCCATACTTTGCCATTCTAACAATCATCGTTGGGGATAGCCGGAATTTGTCACAACGATGAATTAACGATCAAAATTAGTCGTTAATTCAACAATTTGGCCTTTTTCGGAGGCTAGTTGACGATCAAATCTTGGCCATCGTTGATCGATAATGACTGTCATATCTTTGGGTGGATTTAACCGAAAAAGGTTATATCGACGTCCTACCTGCTAGATCTGACCGGTTTGCGTCGTAACGCCATTTTTTGACCATATTTCGACAGTGGTTGCCAGAATCTGGCACTATGGTGGGTGGGGGTGTTTTTGTCATTTTATAATTTTTTATATATTGGAGTGTTTAGTTAAATTAGCCAACCTAGGGGTTTTTTTTGTAAATTTTTAAATTTGACCTCGTAATACTTCCCTATTCAACTACTCAATATTATTTCCAAAATAATAAAACAAACGGACCCTTAATTTTTTGAATCGTGTATCGCCTAGCATATTGTAAGATACACTTTTTTCAAAAAATTAATAAAATAATAGAAATTTTTTAAAAATTAATATCATCTCTATTATTAATTAACGAATTTTGTGGTATTATTGACTTTGAATTATCGTATTATATAATCAAAATTAATTACAAAATTAAGAATTTATATTATTTTCTCACAATCATTCATATCTTTTTCAATATCAATATTAATATATATATCTTTATTAGTGTTATTATTATCACGTAAAATAGGTAACACATCTTCTTGTTCACTTTCTCCATGTAAAATGGGTAAACTTGGACAAGTTTTAGTGAATCAAGTTGGGTGACCCAGATTCGACCTGAAAAAGTTTTTGAACTTTCGGCCTAAATTAATAAAATCGTATCAATGTTTTTAAAGATATGAATGGATACGTATCGTACCATATGATACATATCAACTTATCGAAAGATTTAGGATATATTCTCTGATACGTATCATTGGCAACCCGTATCGAATCATATCGTAAGATACATATGGCATATTGTTAGATAACAGTTACACCACTGTTTTAAAAGCCGGACCGGACCGGCTGGTCCAACCAGTTGGACCGTGAACCGATCACGTGTCCGGTTTGAGTCAACCCTAAACCCGCTATTACGCAATAAACCGCTTTAACCCGTAATGGACCGTGTGAACAGTATTGGACAGCAAGAAAAACCGGTCCAACTGAAAAATTAAAAAAAACCCAATTTCTCCCTTTGCGCTGCGCAGTTTCTTCTTCCTCAGTTCCTCTACGCACAAAAAACTCTGAAAAAATTTGAATGAAATTGCAAAAATCTGAAAAAGATCACAAATCAAAACTCAATCTTGCTGAAATCGCAACCATTCGTTACTGAAATCAATCGCAACTCCAGTCTCTGAAATCGTGATGACGCGTTCCTCCCTCGCCAGAAATCGACGCATGAAGGCTGATTGGCATGCATGTCTTGACAATCCAATTTGATTCAAGGTGAGTTGTAATCTTCGGGACCTTTGCTGTGAAATCTGAAATGTTTCATTGATCATATAGATTTTAGACCTAATAACATCCTCCTCAGCCATACTTTAGACCAAAGGTCAGTTCCATATTTTCTGCAATTCATATTTTCTCTTTAATTTTGATTAATTGAAAATTTCCAAGAAATACACTGAATACGTATATCAACATTGATTATTATGTATTATCACTCTTAGAAACAGGTGGGAAATTTCGGTTTGGCAAGGTTACTGGCAGATGGATAGTTGGTAGAAGAGGCGCATTTGGGTATGAAAATTCCCTCAGTCTTGCTGATATTGCTCTAGGGCCTATTTAATTTGAGATATGATACAATTCTTTGGTTTTTGAACATAAATGAAGAAATAGACATTAAGCAAAACATTTTTGGTTGAGAATTTTCAGCAATCATTTACTTGATGATTTAGTTCCAGTATATACCCATTTTGGACTCATAATAGAGAAAGCTGATGTATATGCCTTCGAAATCATTTTGTTGGAGCAGTTTTTGAATAATACATGATTTATGGTCATCATGCCGACATTGTCGAATTAATTTATTTCAATACGGATGATGCAGGGTCAACCATTACATTGAATCGTTCCTGTATGGTTAAGGATTTGGGTTCGTATGTAGTAACTAATCAATAATTTAGAGAATGTTGTTTCATCAACTTATGTGTATGTAATTGGTTTTACAATTTTTATAATTTAAGCGTCATTGGTATTTAGATTATGCAAATGCAACAAAGAGGAGAGGTGGAGACTGGAGAGTAAAGAACAACTCTTGTAGTAGCATGTGAACCCTATATAAATGTAAAACATATTCTGGGTGCGGTGTAACTGTGAAATCAGTTGTAATGGTTGGGAGGCCAGCTTTTAATTACTCAACTTACTGGAAGAGGAATTCGAAACGTTAGGTTAGCATATAACAGTATGATTTATAAAACTCTTTTAAGTGTTAGCTTTTTAGAAATGGTTAGGCTATAAAAGTTCATTATTGACATTTTGTTGCTTTCATTTATCTCTTCTTTTTGGGCTTGAATTCAAGAGTCAATATTTCCTTTAAAGTGTACTAGTCTTTGCATTTATCTGAAAAAAAAAAAAGTTTTTTAAAAATGTACTGACATCACTGGTCCAACCGGTTGAACCATGACTCGACCAACAAAACAGGTTACCTTCCGATCTGATTTTTAAAACAATGATTTACACAGGAAGAATGTTCTGCTCAGAATAAAATTTGAGCATAGCTTGCTCGCCTAATCATAATTGATCTACTAACGACTTAACCAAACTACAGTATAATGGCTGTTAAATATGGAATTATTTGTCTACAGCACATTATAAGTATTTGTGTCTATGGACAAAAGCTAAACAGGAAAGCCTGGTGATCGTTCAACCAGAAGATCGTTTCACTCACACCAGGGTCGGACAATTATTCAAAGTCAAAATTCAGTCCGGAATAATGAGTTAAAACTTATGAGACATACATAAACAGTTCAACAGATTGGGGGTAAAAATAAGAAATAAGTGAATTGTTTCTTCAGAATCTTCACCACCCTCCTAGGGAAGCTCTAGATCATTCTGCATTGGCTTGGGAGCTTCTGCAACAATGGACAAAAAAGAGTAAATATTTTTCATATTGCAACTAAAAATAGATACTAATTAACGCTCGGAATAAATCTGAACCAACAAGAATAATTCCCATATTAGAACAGTTCCCTTACTATTTCTTTGCACTCCTTAATGATCTTGTGATGACTTCCAGTCCCATGGTTTGAAAATTAGTATAGTAAAAGTCTAATGGAAGGAAAATAAAGTGCAGGAAATTATTTTGCATGACAATGGCGTCTACTTTCATACATATAGCTGAATGAAAAGCAACAGAACAAAATCTAACAGACTGCAATCAGAACATCAAAGAGATAAACATATAACTGCAAAATCACAATATTGTGCTTTTGACAACAAAGAGAAATTGACTGTGAAGGGTACATTCAGAAATGATAGCATATGTTTTTACAGATACTCTTCAGCAAATTAAGTAATTTCCTTATCATATCAGAGAAAGTGCAGATAGAAGGGGTTGAAATAGAAGATAAAGAGAAAGTTGGACAATATACATTCTCTCATGCATTAAATTAAAAGCCAACAATTATAGCATAACAATGTATTAAGGTCATGTAACATCCAAACAAGTTAACCAGTTAGCCCATAGCACAAATTGGTTTACCTCTTGAGTTCGGTTTCAAAGGGACTAAAAATACAAAATAATTTGATCTATGAAAACAATGCAACTCATACAGCTCAATCTCAAAATTAATATAAAGGATACATAAAAGGACACACGCACAACAAATACGAAAAGGTAACCAAGAAAAGGTTGACACCATTGAGAAACTTGATAGAAATGTAGGGAATGGATTAACTTCGAATGGGTTAATTCCATTACAAATAATTACTACTTGGTGACAGAGTAAGTATTTTTCAAGCATAAAGTTTTCACTATCAAAACAAATAGGAGATGTATAAAACAAAATATGAAATCCAAGAGAGTCTGAACAGGATGAAATTGAACATATTGATAGGTTATAAAATTGCACCACTGGAAGTGCCATATTCCCATAAAAAATTTCAGGACCCCTTCTCTAATTGCTCTTAACCATTTTACTTCACACCTAGTTTACTCAAAACGGCAAACATAAATCAGTTAAACCAAAAAAGATCACTAAGTTAGACCTCAAAATCTTTCACAGAATTTAGTAGACCATGTATAGACACATAAAGATCCAATTGACCAATATTCCTATCACTCCATAACCCATAAACTAAGGTACTCCACATGATTACTAACCATGTTTACGAAAACATAATCCCAAACTCCATGTATTAAAGCCATGAAAATCATCATTACACTTGACTTATTCCTTGCATCACAAAATACTCCGAACCACAACATGAAGAACAGAAAATAACAAAATAACCCCCAAAATCAAACCTGTAAATCATTTGGAGGCAGTGGTATCATAGGTGTCTTGAAGAAGGTCATCATAAGGGTCCCTGCGACCGGGCACCTGGCTAATCTGAGCATCCCATCGGAGCTGTGCATTATGTCTCTCAAATGTCCAGAACCCGTAAGGACGCAGTGGATAGCTCCACATCTCCTTTGTCTTCTTGCACCTATCTTTCCTCTCATACAAACGCTCCCTAAATTTCCTGTCCCTCTCTTTCGGATCTTCCATCAACCTCAGAACCAAATTCTCCGCAAACTCCATTATAAATCCCATCTTCCCTACTTTTTTCCTATTCAAATATAAATTCACAAAACAACCAAATAAAAACTGAATTTCTCAATTAATTATTATATTAATTAACATATATTTATGGAGGTCATAACGAATCATAGCATTTTAAACGGAAAACCCTAGACGACAAAACTGAGCAATTCAATAAAAATCTATACGAATTACGAGTAATCATATAAATGATGAAACTAATGAAATTTGACGATTTTGATAGTTGAAGCAGAAATCATACGATTCATACCTGTTCAGAGCTCAAGACTCGCGAAGCAGATCAGTGTCTTCGACTTTGCAATGTTTTAGAGAGATTCACCTAAAACAGAACAGAAGATGATGAAAAGTCTGGAAGATTGTAACTTCAGCCCAGGCCCAACATAAACTTCATTTGGGCTATTCGTCCTTCAAGGCCTTTACTATGGATTTTAAATAGGCCACAGTATATTGAGAAGTACTTTTATTTTATGTTGCCAAAAGCGCTTCTAAATAGCTCAAATTATCAAGTTAAGGCCAATAGGGTTGGCCTGACATTCAAGAAGGTTTGTTCCCTTTATTTACTTTTTAAGTTCAAATCACTTTGGGGTCTTTTATTACATTTGTAGCTTTACCTTAGAATATTAGGTTTATAGGGTATTCAATAGGTCTCGAGAATTAGTCAACGTACACGGAAACTGACCCAGACAATAAAAAAAAAAAAAAAAAAAAAGCTTCTAAATAGTTAAAACTTTTATATCACCAACTTTTTAGTGATGGAATTTGACACATTAGTTGAATTTAAGGAGTCATATTCATCAAGTGATTTCCTTTCCAACAAAAGCACTTTCAAAATAGTCATATTTTAAACTTTATGAAGAAACATTGGATTAGTAGCTACTTATTTGGTTTATTTATTTATCTAATTCAAAATTTGATGGATTAGGTTAAGAAGAAATCTTTGAATAATTGTCCTAAAAAACAACACACTCACTAAATGCGCCAGCCATTCATAGGCGAATTCAAAATATAAAAGATTAATTAGAAGAAAGTTGGTTGTACAAAATGGTTGGTCAGACGTGACATTTACAGCTAGCTCAAATTGAATTTCCGCTAGTACAAAATGAAATTATAATGATCTTGCTTTTGTAGTACAGTTGCTGGTACAGAGATAGCCCAAACAAAGTCAACCCTTTAATATATATTTTTTTTTTTTCTTCAGCAACTACAAGTTGCATAAAATTGTTTTCAAACACAGCTGGGGATTCGAACTAAAGGCTTAAAATGGGCTGGGCTTGGACCACTTGAAGGCATCTAAATGTGAAAACTAAAATAATAAATGATATCATAGTAAAAGAGTAGTGTTTACACCCACCCAGAAGATGCCTTTTTCAGGCACAAAAACAAATAATATTTGGTTATATATTTCTTTTGGGTATTGGTTGGGCATAAAAGCTTTGAAAATAACTACATCCTCCTCCACTTTCAAAATGAACGTCTCTTCCACTAATGCCCATCTCCTTTTTTTCATCATCTTGAGATGTTTTGGGTCAAATCTCTTGATGGGTCTAAGTCCTTTTTGACAACAAAAGGAGCTAATTGATTGATTGCCTACAATTTTCTAGTCTAGTGTTGCCTTTCAATTTCTTAGTTTCCCACTAAACAAAAGGAAATTTTTTTCACATTCATTGAGCGGCTCTTGTTGTGTTTCAACTTTGAATATTTCACTTTTTTTAAGATCTAAGATAGAGAATACCTTACCTTTACCCCAAAGCTAACCTAATTACTTAAACTATAAACGAATTTCATTTCTGGGGTTTGCTTATTCATCTCACCCCGATACCTAAATTTAATTTGTTATACTACCTTAATTACAACACCATTTCTCCCACAAAAATGTGATTCATGACCTGCCACTTTTACTAATTAAGTTGTATAATTTAATGTCTAAAAAATCCCTTCTAGCTTAGAATACGATTCCCATTTATCCAAACCAAAAATTATAACACATAAAACCACCAAAGAGAATCAAAATTAGAAGAAGAAGAAGGCTGTACGAAATTACGGGGTTTGAATTTTAATTTACCGAAATTTAAGGTAGAAAGTTGCTCTATAGTACAAAAAGAAATTTTGAAAAAAAGAAGAAAAGAAAAAGCCCTTGATTTCTCCGATTTACCCCTCTATACAAACAAGGGCAAACAAAACTTTAGTTCACGAACTGCCTTACAAGTTCCAAGTTCCAACGACCATAATAAAAGTTAAATTAAATTTTCCACCAAAACTGGTCTCAATTTTCTCCGTTTTTCTCTTTTCTCATTTTTAGACGCCTATATAAACACATATTATATTATTATGTGCCATTGCCGTTACCATTAACGTTACAGTCACTATCTCCGTCAGTCTAACATCCCATCACCGTTTAACTATCAGCTATGACGTCATCACCCCCTTCACCACCTCCTCCTTCTCCTTCGCCTTCTCCTTCCTCAACCTCAATAATATTACCCTCACCCTCAACTTCACCGTCTTCGTCAAGCCACCGGTCAACTGGCGTACACTCGGCTTTATGTCGCAGTTTCCAATCGAGCGCTTGACAAGCGCGTGAACAGTAATTTACAGCCCCGCAGACCGAACACCGACGAAATTCATGTCTCCTTGTCTCGGGTCTCCCACACCCTACGTGTGAACACAACCTTAATCCCTGTTCCGGCGTGCCATCACGTAAAGCGAACCACTCGGCTAAAAATCGGCTTGCTGGGTGTGCCTCTGGCGCCGGTACATTGCAACCGAAATCACTTAGTAACGGACATCCCATCCCGGTCATCTGACCGTTGGGATTCTGTGGTTGAGGAACTGGGTGAGGGTGTGCATGTGAGAGCGAATTCCACGTCAGCCATGAGCGCGTGACGGTAACTTGCGATGGTGCTGACGAGAGCACGGCAGCTAGCTCGCGAGCGTTAGCTTGGACGAGGAACCGGCGCCCCTCGGCTATGTTTTGACGGACACCGTAACCGTCTTGGAGACAGTGGCCAAGCTCGCGAAGCGCGTCGATGTGACCAAGAAAAGCTGCTCGCGCGCAAAGAGCCACGCCGGCTCGCAGGTCCTTGTCGTTCTTGGAACCACCGCTGCCGTTGAACTGAATAACGGCCAGAGAGTATAGTGCCTGCGCGTGTGAGCTAATCGCGGCCTTGGCCATGAGCGACGCTCCGCTTCCTCGGTTGTTTAAACAGTAGAACCGAATCTGAGAAAATAAAAAATCAATTGAAGAGTATTAAAATACGTGCAAGCATCGTTAGAAGAATGAATGTTCATAAACTTAGATCAGTAAAAATAGAATTTTCATCTTTAAAAATTAAAAGAAACATTTTTTAGTACCATGCCCAGAGTGTAACAAGCTTCAACGTTTCCGGCATCGGCACATAGTTTCAAGAAACGGTGAGCTGGGTCGCACCAGTTTTTGGCTCTAATAGCGAATGTTTTCTCAGAAGCTTTAGATAGTACCAGAGAATTCATAGCCAAGCCGTTTAATCTCTTGCATCTGAATTTCATCAAATTCAACGAACAGAAACAACGTCAGTTAGATTCAAACCCTAAAAATAGACCCAGATACATGCCCACAAAAAAACAAAAAATAATGTTTTTCAGCAATGGAGAGGACAGAAAGTTTAACAAATATCCCAGCCTTAAAAAATCAATCCCTTCCAAAGTGAAGTGAAAATTTCCAGAACACGAGCAGAGGAACAAACAAATAAAAATATAATAACGTACGTCATCAAAACGTTAACGAAATCGGATGGGCAACGAGCGGTGGAGCTGAGTTTGCATAAGATAGAAACAACAAGATCATCAGGTAAAGTATCAAACAAGTCACACTCTCCAGGCATGCCCGGCGAGAGTTTAGGTCTTTTCCGGCAAACCATCTTCCGTTCGCCGGTGATAACTCTTCTCTTCTTAAAGACTACTCTCTGGTCTAAACAAACATCTACTAGACTAGGGTAACAAAGCCCACGTTTCGTTCTCATCCTCTCTCTCGCTCTGTAGTTTTCTTTGTCTCTCCGTTTAAAGATAAAAAGAGAAAAAGCAGAGTGAGAGTTTATATAAAAGAGGGAAGCAGAAGCACAAAGGCCTTAAAACAGAGCAAACAACAACGACAGAACCGAATCCTACAATAAATAACACCGTGGCTAGACATAGAGTAATAGATGTGTATGTGTAATTACATTCCTAACCCTCACTTGTTAATTTTACGGTCAAACGGCGTTGACCCAGATCCGTCCGTCATCTGTTTTGCTTTCTTTTTTTTGCTTTTTATTTTTTTATTTTTTTTTGTGTTACTGCTATGTCCTTCTCTCTTGTCTGTAAGCTTTTAAGCACTTCTTTTAATTTTTTCTTTTTTTAAAATAAAATTTAAAAAATATATATTTTTTAAAAGATGAGAGGCAGAGAGAAAGGCTATCCTCATCTCTTTATTTATGTTTGTTGGATACAGGTGGATTGTGTCTTTCTCTCTCTCAAATGTTTGGGTTTGTTTTGAAAACGGTTAAATTTGTTGCGAGTGAAAAACAACTAACTGTGTTTATTTTCAATTTTTCATTGTATTTTTTTACCGAGATTAAAATCCTAACGTTTTCAACTTTTACCTCCGCGCGTCATCACACGCATCACATATTTTTTTATATAAATAGTGTTTGATCTAGAGAGTATGCACACACACACACACGTTGACGGTGAGAGTGGGGGAAATTGTGGTCTTCCTAACAAACTGAAGTAGCGAATTCTGGGCTCTCGTAGAAGACCATTACCATAATGAGGTCAAACGTATGAATCAGCATTCAGTACTAAACAGAGGTTCAGTTACTCTTATGTTGTTTTTTCACTTGTTGCCTATTTTATGTTTTTGTTTTCCTTTTTATGTCCTTTCCAATCTGAACACAAATAAAATCTCGAAATCCTTGATTAAATAGGATTTAATTATCAATTTAGCAATGTTCTTTCCTTAAATAAATTGTCTGATTTTGTAGTTTCTTGGTGTATTCTCTGGCAAACTACTACATATGATGAGATCGTGTATGAATAATTTCTTCATCTCAAACAACAATTATTTTTAAAATAATAAAATTAAATCAAATGCCAATTAATTATAGAAAAAATTTATGTTGGCTTGCCATAATAGTGAAATTTTCTAATAACCATCCCACCCAATACCCGATTCTTCCAAGATTATTGTGGACACAAAACTTGATCTTCATATGGTTAAAGAATAAATCTGATATAACATAAAATTAAAAAAAAAACGTGACGTATGTACTATCACAAGTAATTTCATTAACATTTTTTCAAGTGATTTAATACGCCCAACAACAACGAGACTTGAACATATGTACGTGGCACATTTTGAGCATAACGCCTTACACTCACAATAAATAGGGAGACTGCAGCATCGCAAAATCAATTTGCCAACTTGCCAACTAGTATAGACAGGGACATTTATTGAGTTGAGAAAATTTCTTAAGTAATAAAATAAGAAAAATAAATAAATAAAAATCCTTTGTATTTTATTGGTCAACGCTGTAATTGTACTTCAAGGAACTGATGCTACACTACATGCATAGTAACGTAATATAATGTAGGACACAATCTTACGGCAAAAATAAGAAAGGCAATCGCAATCTTTGAGTTTGAGTAGCCACACTGGGAAGGAAATCAACCACTTTTGGTGGGGTATAATATCTGGTGTTATTTGTTACCATTTTTCCAGTCAACTTTGGATCTAAGTGGCCCCACTGTTATGGCCGTTTCTACAGTAAATTTTTTATACTGTTTTCTCTAGTTAGGAGGGCCCGCCCCACACAACAAACCAGTTTGATCATGATCTATCGTGATAATCAAAATACTATCTGTGATTGATTAGTATGAAAGAAGGAAAAATATTTGAAGAAAGTTCGAGAACTTGGCAGTTGGAACTAATAAGGGTTAAGGCACGAATTGATGTTTAGCACTAGTAAAACTTTAGTAAAGAGATGAAGTTTTACGAAACTATATATTATAAGTATTTATTAGAACCCTAATCTAGAGAGTGCCCACTCCCAAAAATTGTAGCCAAACTTATGGATTTTATATATATATATATAATTGAGGATATTCGAGCCAGTTTACGCATATTTCAACTAATTTTTCGAGACCCTAAAATTATCGGTCGGATAAAAACTCTATTGACTATCCCTATTAGTAATTGAAGAGAGATTCAAATTTATGACCTCTTAAAAAATATATCCAAGAGTCCCTATCGAATCATTCGATCACCCAGAAGTAGTTTTCATTATTTAATTTTGTCAAAATGATAAAAAATATTGTGGGCAAAACTTAAAAAAATGTTAACATGATTAATTTGAATTATTTTTTAATTCATGTAAAGATATAGTTTAAAAACTGTTGTAAATGAAAATAGTTCAACGTTAATGGAGGGGACAAATGAAGTGCTCTAAATCAAATTTAAATTGCCAATTTCAGTGGGGATTAGAGTGGGAAAAATTAAAATAATTGTCTTGACAAGCACTTTCACTAGATCCATCTTACACTCAATACTACAAGTTGAGTTAGTGGCCGTCTAGCTCGAACAAGTCAAAATTTTCGCTCTCCGTCAGAAACAAAAACTAATTTAATTTTGACCAAATCATGATTAACTCACTAAACTCAATTATCACTCTTTAAGAATATATACTAATAAAATATTGTAGATTGTCTGAAGATTCGTGGTCGCTTAAGGAACGTAAAAACATGGGCCGCCTGTCACGTCGCCGTAAATTTAAATAATTACCGTCACATCAAACGTTTTACGTTGTTTCTTAAGTAATCGCATCTTCAATTTTTTTTTTTTTTTTACTATGAACGGCTGACAACACTCGACCTAATTAAAGATAGTTCAATTCACCTGCCTGTGATGTTTAAGCCTGTCACCAACGGCTAATTGAATTACGATTGTGAATTTAAAAATAATAAAATTGTTATAATTTAGTAAAGTTTAGAAAAAAAATTGCCACAACAATGGTAAGATTATCATGGGCTGGATGGAATGGAGTTCAAAGTGAGAGGTAGATGACGTGGATCTCAAGGAGTGATGTCGACTACTGAAAACTTTTGTCATGCAAAAAGGGGCCCACGTGTCTTCTCCAAAGGGCTGCTTAAAAGGTATATGGTGGTGGAAGAAGAGAAATGTTATAGGAATGCTAATAAATAAATTAATTAATTAATTAAAAGAATGGGAGGATGGGTCCCGGATTTCTTGTGTGAATAGGTTGAGGTAGGGACCATGTTTTTGATGCCAATCTTGCCAAAGGCCATGGCCCCCGCAATCAACGTAGCCGATTTTGTTCCTGATTTTGGCTATTTAATTTCCCCCATCTTACTTGTAATTGTGGTAACTGGTAACTGCTCACCCCATTCTGCTTCCCTGCCCACAATTTACCAGATAGTGACTTTACTTGCGTAAATTTTGCTTGATTTTTGACTAAAATTCGAAGAATTATTTTTAATTCACGTTTTTATGAGAGCTAATGTTGATTTTATAATTAAAAGTTTTGAAATAAAATTCTCATTTTCTTTTTCCGAATAAAATTCCCTGCCCAATATGTAAATTTCACTGGATACAAAGTGATTTAAGATACGTAATTCTAAGACTGTTCATAAAGTATACTTTTGGTATTCTCCAATGTTGGCCAAAATTGACTTTTGATTTTTAAGGTTTAATAATTATTGAGGGATTAGTATTATTAATTTTTTTTTTAAACAAAGATGTATTTAAAGGATTTAAATACAAGAGAGATGAAAGATAAAATTTTCTTTGATTAAAGTTTGCAATAAGCGTGTATATGATAATGCTAAACATATCTAATCATAGTAGTTTCTTGCATAATAATGCATATGATGAAACTTGTAAGGATGTGGACCCTAATTTAATGAAATTAAGAGTAAAATAAGGTGGTGGTTTAGGTTTTGCCATTTTTGCCCCCAAGAGGGAGTCCTATTAGTTAGTATTAAATTAAGAGTTTGCAATAATACAAGCCCATAAATTACCTCAGGGTGATTAAGTGATTCGATAAAGACTCTTGGATATATTATTTAATAAATTAAAAGTTTAAGTTTTTTTTTTACTGCTAATAAGGGTAGTCATTAAAACTCTGATTTGATCAATAGTTTTAAACTTTTAGAAGATTAGTTGAGATGTGTGTAAATTAATCCAAATATCCCGATCATTTAAAAAAAAAAAAAAAATCCGACATAGTCAAAATTTATAAATGCCTACGCTGTGCTTAATTTGTATAACTTGTGTAAAATCAATTAAAGACGGTATGAATTTCTCTTCGTTTTAAATTTAAGCCAGGAGTATTAGGCGGTTATGTTAACCTAGGTGGACAGCTGGATGATAAAAATGAATGTAAAATCATTGATTAATAGCCGGCAAATACAAGCAAATATGATTTGACGTTAAATAATAGTTTGGCATATAATAATTTTATGAGGTTGACTAAGTTTATTTGTGATAAACATCTCTTTATTCACGATATTAATATTTAACTTCAAAGGTCGGGAGTTTGAGTGTGTAATTCATCAACCAGTCAAAGACGTACTGGAACTACGTTTCTATTTTTTCAATCACCTTTTCATTACAAATCTTTCTTCTGATTTNTGTGCTTAATTTGTATAACTTGTGTAAAATCAATTAAAGACGGTATGAATTTCTCTTCGTTTTAAATTTAAGCCAGGAGTATTAGGCGGTTATGTTAACCTAGGTGGACAGCTGGATGATAAAAATGAATGTAAAATCATTGATTAATAGCCGGCAAATACAAGCAAATATGATTTGACGTTAAATAATAGTTTGGCATATAATAATTTTATGAGGTTGACTAAGTTTATTTGTGATAAACATCTCTTTATTCACGATATTAATATTTAACTTCAAAGGACGGGAGTTTGAGTGTGTAATTCATCAACCAGTCAAAGACGTACTGGAACTACGTTTCTATTTTTTCAATCACCTTTTCATTACAAATCTTTCTTCTGATTTTCTTTTAGTTTTTTGTCTCTTCGATGGGATGGATGTTTTGTTCTTATATGCCTGTATTATTTTTAACATTTTTGTTTTAGCCCAA